GTCTATAAGATCAAGTTGGTGGATTGTATTGTTTAGTTCTTCTGCATCTTTGTTGAGTTTCTTTCCAGTTATTTTATCTTTCATTGAAACTGGTGTATTAAAGTCTCCTACTATGACTGTAGAGTCATCTATTTGTCTTTACCATTCTGTTAAAGTCTGATTCATGTGTTTGGGGCCTCTTTGGGTGCATAAATTGTTATTACAGTTATGTCCTCTTGTTCAGTTGATCCTTTAATCATTATATAATGTCCTTCCTTGTCTCTTATGGTAGTTTTGTCTTAAAGTCAATTTTATCAGAAATTAATGTTGCCACTCCTGCTCTTTTATGGTTGCCATTTGCTTGATATATCTTTTTCCAACCTTTGATTTTTAGTCTGTTCTTTGTCTTTCTCTCTAAGGTGTGTCTCATGTAGAGAGCATAGTGATGTGTTATGTTTTCTTATCCATTCTGCAACTCTCCATCTCTTGAGTGGCACATTTAATCCATTAACATTCAGTGTTATTGTTGACAAGTATGAACGTGTTGGTGTCATTTTGTTATGTGATTTTTTGTGGTGTTGCCAATTTCTTTGCTCCATATAATTTTCTGTGCTGAGCTTGTTTTATTTATGAATCATGTTATCACTTCCTTCATTGCTATTGTTTTAGTGCTAAATATTTGTGCTTGTTCTCTCTTTTATTTTGATATGAAAGTTTACCATTTTTCTTTGAGGTTACCTTATGTGTTATAATTTTCTTCTGAAGTTTAGAACAGTCTATCTTGCAATTGTCTTGACTTCCTCACCATTTAGAAGTTCTACAACTACACAGTTTTTTCCCTCTTTTTCATTTGTGATTGTCCTTATTTGCCAATTGATGTCTCTTGTTCCCTGTTTACAATCATGTAGGCTTATTTACTTTGGATACTTCCATAACTGGGTTGGTTTCTGAGTTGTGTGTGTTATGTCAGTTGCTGTTTGCTGTTGTTCAGTATCATGTGTGTTAATGGTCAGTTGCTGTTTGCTGTTGTTGGTTCTCTGTCCAAAGGACTCCCTTTAACATCTCTTGTAAGGTTGGTCTGGTTTAAGAAATTCCCTTAATTTCTGCTTATCTGGAAATGTCCTGCTTTCACCATCATATTCGAGGGACAGTTTTGCTGGGTATATAATTCTTGATTGGAAATTTTTTTATTTCAGCGTTTTATATATACCATCCTATTGTCTTCTTGCCTGCATGGTTTCTGCTGAGAAATCTGAGCTTAGTCTTATTGGTTGTTTTTGTAGATAACTTTTGTTTTTCCTGTGCTGCTTTCAGATTCTTTCTTTGTCTTTGGTTTTGGTGAGTTTGATGATGAAATGTCTTGGTGATTTTCTTTTGGGGTCTATACTGTTTGGGATTCATTTGACTTCTTGAATGGATATATTCTTATCTTTCATTATATCAGGAAAGTTCTCCTCCAACAAATCTTGGACAATTTTCTGTGTGATTTTATTTGTCTCTTCCTGTTCTAGAATTCTGATTACATGTAGGTTATTACTTTTGATTGTATCCTACATGAATCTTTGGCTTTCTTCATTTTGTTTTGATCTTTTTTCTGGACAATCCCTTTCCAAAGAAGTATTGAGGTATTTGTCTTTAATCTCACTAATTCTGTCTTCCATTGATTCAATTCTACTCCTTTGCCCATTCATTGTGTTATCTATTTCTGAGAATTTAGTATTAATCTTCTGGATTTATATCTGTAGATTTTGTATCATTTGTGATTTTTCATTTATTTTGTCATTTTGTTCTTCTATTGTCTTCTGAAATTGTTCTAGGGTTGTCTCTTTGTTTTCCTCAATTGTGTCAGTGTTTTCCTTGATCTGTGTCTCAACCCATTGTAGATACCTAAATATAATTCTTTTGAATTCCTTACCAGGGAGTCCCAATGCTGACTCTTCCTCAGGGATGTGTTCAGGGTCTGTATCTTGCTCCCTTATTTCTTATATTTTATCTTGCTGCTTTGTATGGACTGTGATGGTCTGTTGTCTCCAAGGCATTGTGACATTTTTGTGTTTATGTTTAGTTGGTGACTGTATGTTGGAGTGATTTGCCCATTATTTTTGTTTTCTTTGGATGTTGTCTGAGTAAGCAAGGTAGTGCATCCCTCAATTCACTAGTTTGCAGCATTTATGTACTTACCCCCTGTCTCCTTTCCAGTCATCAGTCTCCCTTATATCCATGCTGTTCTTGCCAAGTGGAGCCTATTCTTAGGTCCCTGGAATCTGAATGAGCGTATTGTCACTTTAAATATCCAAAATGACCCCTGCTTGTAATTATTCCAGATGGCTGCACCATCCAGACAGCCGAAAGTCCTGTCTCAGTTTCTCTCCTTCTTTGCTGTTTCCCTTTTTAGTCATCAGCCACCAGCGCAGTTGTCCATATAGCCCTTCATGAGCAGTCCCAATTTTTAGGTTAATTTTCAGGTCTTAACACCACTTGGAAATATTCAGGCTGTCCTTGCTGTTAGGAGAGTTGACAGTCTGCAGCTCTATTTGTCTCCTTATTCATTGTTTTCATTCAGATTCTTTTACTCATTGGTGTTCAATCCTCTTCTGTATCCTTCCTTTCAAAGCTCAGGGCTCCAGAATTATCTTCCGTATTCATGTCACTTGGTTTCTCTTTCCTTTGTTGAGGGGGGTCTGAGTAGCTTGTTTTTCTATTCTGCCCTCTTACCAGAACTTTCCCACTGAGTCTGAATCATCAAGTTTTGGGTTAGCACCTGAATGGTTAAGCATTGCACCACCGGGGCTCCTTCATTTGTCACTGTGAGTATATATTTGTTAGTAATTTCCAATTATTGGAAATAATGGGCATATGTTACAATAATAGGCATACAAACCAAATTTGAGAACAATCACAAAATATGACTTGTTCTACACTACCGAAAGGTTATGAAAAGGAGCTCTGGTAGCACTGTGATAAGGCATTTGGCTGCTAACCAAAAGGTCGGCAGTTTGACCCCACAAGCTACTCTATGGGAGAAAGATGAGGTAGTCTGCTTCTGTAAAGATTTATAGCCTTGGAAACCCAGTGGGGTTTGCTATGAGTTGAAATTCATTCAGTGGCATTGTGTGGTGGTGTTGGTGAAGGGTATTAGGTACCTTCCATGGTGGACTCTTGAAACCCTCTCCCTGTCTATTCATGTCTATTCTGCATGTATAAGTTGGCCCACCAGTACCTTTCCAACACAATTCCTATGAGAGATGTCAGCCTTTTTATTGAATTAATTAAATGCATACATAATAGATTTTTTCAGGCCTTTTCTTAATTGTTTAAGATTTTCTGGGCTCATCGTACATCCAGTTTTTTGAAGTAACAACAATAACCTTGGGTATCTTAAATCTAGAGAAATATTAATATTTTATAGATCCTCTTTCTAGAGAGGTTACACTCTGCACTTAGTGTGTTGACAGTTTGTATTAAATTTAAGCATTTTGGAGAACCATAGATCAAAAATAGCTTTTTTTTCCCCTTAAAATTTTTAAAAAGTCGTATTACAGTAATATATATATATATATAAGGCAGCTGGATGGCACAAACAGTTAAGTGCTCCACTACTAGCTTAAAAGTAGGTGGTTCAAACCCTGACAGAGGTGCCTAGGAAGACAAGCCTGGTGATCTGCTGCTGAAAGTTCACAGCCTTGAAAACCTTATGGGATAGTTTACTCCTCAGTGATTTTTTGGTTGCCACTGAGTGGATTTCTGACTCATGGCGATCCCGTGGGACAGCGGAACTGCCCCAGAGAGTTTCTTCAGCTGTAATCTTCACAGGAGCAGATGGCCAGGTCTTTCTCCCATGGAGCAGCTGGGTGGGTTTGAACTGTTAACCATTCAGTTAGCAGCTGAGCATTTAACTACTGCAGCATCAAGGCTCCTTTCACTAACAACAAGAACAGCAATAAAACATATCTAACAAAACCTTTGTCCATCTTAGCCATTTTTAAGTATCCAATTCAGTGGCATTAGTTAACTTTACCATGTTGTGCAACCATCACTCATTCTGGATATTTATGAGTAGCTTTTAATCTCTAAGTGACCATTTCTACTGTGGGGACTTGATTCCTTAATTCTAATTATTTTATGTATATAATTAAGAATAGTGTAAGTTCATAAATATTTTTATAGCATTTATAATACATACATCTTGGTGAAAGAATATTATTCATATTTTACAAAAGTAGGTTTTGAATTGGCATAGTTTATTTGTCTACTTCAGGGCACTTTGTAAACCCAATGTTACCCTAGCTTTCTGTTGAAACCCTCAAGCCATCTTATCACACCAGTTAGCAGAATTAACAGGTGAACACAGCTTTTATTCACACACAGGTGTGCTGTTTAGTTAATAATATGCACTTTGTTAAACTTCATTGACTGTTCACAGTTGAAAAGTAGTTGGCCTGAGTCATCATGTTTTTCTAAAGGATAAAGAAATCAGAGCTCTCTGGTATCTCAATTTCACCATCTCTGGCTGAGAAGAAAGTTCATGCCTGGTTCCTATTGAGAATAAACAAAGTTTGAGGTATGGAGTGATGGGAGGATGAAGTGGCTGCTCAGGTAGAAAGGTGACCCCACCTTCAATCTCCTCCACACAGGATTAAGATTTACTGGCTATTGTCTGTGTTCACTGAATCAGAAATCAAATATTTGTTTAGACTTAAGACTTCTATTATTTGGAACTAGGCTCTTAAGCAGCCCTATATTTAATGACACTGGCAAATCCTGAACAATTTGAAGCAGAAGACTAGATTTCATGCCTGAGAGTGTCATGGGGAATTTGCCTCTTAAAAAGGAATTATTTCTATAAGCCCAAGCCACCCTACATTCTGAGGATCATTTCTTTGTGGTTTTGTGGGAGACAAGAGAAAGCTTTTAAGTTAAATGTAGCTGAAGGTCACTACTCACATCTAGGAAGGTGTCTGGGTCAAACTTGGCCATCTGATGCACAAAAACACAGGCTCCCAGAAGCCATGAAGAAAACACACTGCTAATGGCAGTCTTGATCCAGGCAGTGTCGGACATGTTCCATATAATATCTGAAGACTTCAAGGCCAGCCAATACCTAAATGATATGAAGAAGCAACAGAACAGATGACAGGAGGAAAAACAAGGGAAGCAAATAAATGAACATTTTTGAGCATTGGTCTTGTCCCAGAAGGAGCCCTGGTGGTGTAGTGGTTAAGCACTTGGCTGCTAACTGAAAGGTCAGTGGCTTGAATCCACCAGTCACTCCATGGGAGAAAAGACCTGGAGAACTGCTCCTGTAAAGATTACAGCCTTGGAAACTCTATAAATCTGGGTAGGTAAATTGACCAAGCAGTGAGGAAAAAGTCAGACTTGCTGTTGTGGGGACTGAATTAGAGTTGATTCCTATCTCTGGCTTGGTCAGTTGGTTAGATGGTGCTGTTCATGAGCTCATGGAGAGCAGGAACATCAAGAGCTCTGTTTTGTAGATGTTATATTTGAGAAATGTAGGTGCCATCCAAGTAGAGGTATCAACTAGGTAGTTGGATCCATGTTCAGGAGAGTTTCCTACCTTCCACAGAGGGTGTACCCAATACCGAGGCTGCTCTGAGAATGCTGGGCCATCTTGGGAGAGCCTGTGGTCCCACTGGTGAAATAAATAGCCATTGGTTCTTGACTTCCTGTATCCACACAGCTGTGCTCTTCTGAGGCAGACCTGCAAAATATGGCCCGTAAAATGGTAGCTGAGGGTGACAGACTGGTTTAACTCTGATATTTCTTCTGCTCTGCTATTTATGCCCTCTTGAAACCAGGAGAAATGAACCCAGTGTAAAGCTTCTCTGATAGGAATTCCTCAAGAAATTTTAGATGGACTTTGTAGATTGGTGCCAAAATTAACAGCTCATTTTTTTTTTTTTAAGCTCTGCCTCCCAATAAACCAAATAGATAGCCAATTTAACTTTCAATATTAACAAAAGTGTAAAAACATTTTTCCTAAGTTCTTTTTTATCTATGATTTTAAAAAAAATAGTAACTTAAAAAATTGAATCTTAAAATTGTTATTAACATTTCAGGACTTTTTCTTCTAAATTTAATTAATTTTGTTGTTGAGAATATATACAGCAAGACATATACCAATTCAGTATGCACAGGGAGACAGCTCTGGGGCAGAAGTGCATGGGAGGGAAGGACACAGGGAAGAGGTGACTATGGGAAGGAAGTGGGAAAAGAGCTGTTGCATTGTGGGAAATTGCAGTCAATGTCATGAGACAAAGTGTATGTGAGCTGCTATATGGAAAATGAATTTGCTCTGTAAACTTTCACCCAAATCACAATAAAAATATATATAAAAAAGATATACACCAATTCAACAGTTTTTACATGTACAATTTAGTGACATTGATGACATTCTTTGAGTTGCGCAACCATTCTCATCCTCCTTTTCTGAGTTGTTCCTCCCTTGTTAACATAAAATAATTGCCTCCTAAGGTTTCTATGTATCTAATCTTTTGAGTTGCGGTCATCAATTTGATCCCTTATGCCAAAATCAAACTCACTGCTGTTGAGTTGGATCCGACTCATAGCGACCCCTCCTTGGGTTTCAGAGGCAATATCACTACAGAAGTAGATTGCCAAACTTGCCTTCTGAGGAGAGGCTGGTGGGTTTGAACCACCAGCCTTCTAGTTAGCAGTCAAGTGCCTTAGGCAGTATGCCACCAGAGCTCCTTATAAATAGTTCTTAAAAGAGCATAATGCTCAAGGCAGACGTGTTTTTACTAGTTAAGCTAAACAATTGTTTGGTTTTAAGAAGATTTCAAGGGATATTTTTGGTTTACAGTTTAAAGCTTATCTTCAGGGTGACAGTTTCAGGGTTTCATCTACCCTTCATGGATCCAAAAAGTCTAGAGCCTATGATAATTTAAAATTCTGTTCTGCATTTTCCTCCTTTTGATCAGGATTCTTCTGTTGGAGTTTTATTTTTTAAAGGATGATCTTTTGGCATTTGAAGCAAACTTGTTAGTAATCTGTGTGTATTATCTCTGGCAGACACAGCTAGTTGCTTATCAAATAGCCATTCTCTCCTTCCTTGAACTAATCTCTGATTTGTTCAAGTATCAATCATTTTCCTCAAGGAAGACTGCTCCTGATATAGCTCCAAGGGGTGAATCTTGATTAACTCAAGCCAGTCAGTGATTGGTTTAGGAAGGGACACATGATATAATTATGGCTAATGAGATGCAAAGGCTTTATGGGAAATGTTTTCTTATTTTTAAAATGTGTCTTAAGGAAGGTATGCTGCCTCTCCTGACCCCACCTATCCTGTTTTCTGGCCTCTGGATATTGTGAAAGTATATGATGCCTGGCCCTACCCTAGCATGTTGAGATCACAAGGGGAGAAGCAGATACACTGAAGATGGCATGATGGGGAGATCAATGAATTTAGGTTCTTATTAACTTCATTGAACCACTGAATTAACCAACCCTCACACCTCCATACCTCTGCCCTTCTTATTTGTGAGATTTTAAAAGTGTTTTTATTGTTTAAGCCACTTTTACTTGGGTCTCTTATTATTTTATCCAAAAGCATTCCAAATGATAACAACATCTGTACGGTAGCTTGTTTGCAGGGATAGCTCTAACATTCCTTCCCCACCTATATCATAAGCCACTCCTCCATTGAGGGGTGGAGCCTATTTCCTTTCCCCTTCTAATTTGGGCTGGTCTAAATAGTGCTTTGTGCAATGTGACAGAAGTTCTCGGACTTCTCAGCTCAGACAGTAAGACACTTTGTAGTTTTCACTTTCGTTGGGGAGAACCCAGCTACCATCTAAAGATGTTCAGGCAGTCCAGCTGGAGAGTGAGGCCATGTACAGGAGAACCAAGATCATCCAGCCAAGAGGCAGCACCAAGGTCTCAGGCACGTGACTGAGCCTGTCTTGGGTCTCCTAGTCCAAGTCAAGCTGCTCCAGCCTGTGTAATGTAGAGATGAGATAAGCTGCCCCTGCTGAGCCTGGCAGGAATTTCTGACTCACAGAATCATGGGAAATAAAATGACTTGTTTTGTGCCACTCAATTTTGGGATGGGTTGTTAGCCAGTGATCAATAGTGATAGATAACTGATACAATATCGAAGAACTTTTGAGGCCTGAGTATCATATTTAAATTTCCCTAGTGGAAGGATGACATTTTAATTCCCCTCAGTGATAAATCTAATAGGATAGATTTCTATTGGAACAGAAAAAATAAAAAAAACAAGATTCATTATATAAACGTATACCATATTGTCAAAAATAGTTTCATGAATTAGCAACATGGTTTCCTTGGTAACTTGCTTGTTTCCATAAAATAGGAAAAAGATGATTGAATTGTATCTTTTTGTTTTTCAGTATGAAATGGGCGAAATTGGTGTATTGTGTTGGAGAGAGGAAATTTCTTCACAGTACCTGAAAACAAACAAAACGACCACGTGAACTGAAGGCCAGGCAGTGGGTGCTCTCCATCCAGAATGGAAGTACTTTGACATAGGTTTTCATTTTTATTTTTCACAAAGTTGTTAATGTTGTCAGGTGCTGTCGAGGCAGCTCAGCAGCCCTTTGTAAACAGAGCGAAATGCTGCCCGGCTCGGCACCATCCCCACAATCCTCACTCTACTTGAGCCCATCATTGCAGCCACTCGCCTGTCAGTTTGTCATACTGCAGTGGCTTGCGTGTTGCTGTGAGGCTGGGCTATGCCAACAGGATTTCAAATGCCAGCAGGGTCGCCCATGGTAGACAGGGTTCAGTGGAGCTTCCAGGCTGAGACAGGACTGGGAAGAAGGCAGGGACCATCCACTTCTCAAACACATGGCCAGTGAAAACCATTTTCTTACTAAGAGACATTCCAGTCCATGAGTGACAGGGAAACATTGAAACACTAGTTCTATTGTCTGACTTGCCTCTCTTTCCTTGGATGTCTGATAGAGTTACATCTTTCTGGATTCTCAGAACTGTCTACAGGCTGATTGCTTTCCATATTTGTAGCTTGATCTCCTTGAGCCTGAGACTCTTTATACTGCCTACTAGGCATTCAGTGTCCACAGACCCTTCAATCTCAGAACGTCCAACTTGAAACTCAGGATCTGATCTCTCCTGGGTCTTTCTCCTGCTGATGGTCCCTCACCCACCCAGTCCCCCAAGTTCAAAAGCAGATTAGCCTTGGCTCTGAGCTTCCTCATCCTCCATGTCCAGTCAGTCTCCAACTCCTGCTGCTTTTTTAGTTTGTCCCTTTGCCTGCATTTCCATCCACCAGAGCTCAGATTTAGACTCCCTTCGTCTCTCTCATAGATTATTATTACATTAGGCTTCAAGACGGTCTCTCTGATTCCAATTTGGTCCTTATCAAATGCATCCTCTACACAGCTGCCAGAGAGATCTATTTAAAGTGCAAATCTGACCGTATCACTTTCCTTTCTAAAACCTGCTAACGATTTACCTGTGAATAGGGATAAATTCAAGATTTACATCGGCACATGAGATTTCCGATATCTGGCTCCTGCTTGCTCTTCTGGCCTCCACTCTTACTTCAGTTTTGTGCTCCGGTCACCTAACACCACTTGTAGTCCACTGCCTGCGAACCTTAGGCTATTTCTTGCCTGGAATACTATCTTGATCTCCTTAGACAAGAACCAAGGTTCTAGACCCATAGGGCTGAGCCCTTTTTACTAGAGCAGAACAAGAGAAACATCAGTCTGGTCCATAATTTTGACCTATTTCCTATCCGTTATGAAGATTTTGGAAAACGTTAAAATGGACTTCTGTCCTTGGGAGGGAGAAGGAGGGTGAATAGCATTAAAACGAACTCTGTGAATAGAAGATTGGCTCTAACAATGCAAAATTAGTTTTTTTTGTGTGTTTTTGTTTTTTGGTTTATTGCTGTATGCATGGAGCCCTGGTGGCATCGTGGTTAAGAACTCAGCTGTTAACCTAATGGTTGTTGGTTCAAATCACCAGCAACTCTGCAGGAGAAAGATATGGCATTCCGCTTCCTTAAATTACAGCCTTGGAAACACTGTGGAGCTTATTTCTACTTTGCCCTATGTATTATTTTATCATTCTTTAAAAATTTTGTTGTTGATATTTGTATAATAGGAGCTCTGGTGGCACAGTGCCTAAGGCATTTGACTGCTAACCAGAAGGCTGGCGGTTCCAACCCACCAGCCACTCCTCAGAAGGAAGGTTGGGCAATTTACTTCTGTAGTGATACCGCCTCGGAAACCCAAGGAGGGGTTTACTATGAGTCAGGTCTAACTTAATGGGAGTGGGTTATTTGGGTAATGCACACAAGTGCATGTATAAAATTTATAAAGAAATAAATATACATATGTTAAGGGAGTGTGCTAAAAGTATTTTACTGATGGGGTTCATATTCAAATAATCTGAATACTATTGATTTAGAGAATCACTGCACTGTCGAATGACTTTGTTAAGTTGATAAATGTGATAATAGTAATTACTTATAATTATTATAAAATGTAGGGGATAATTAGACTCTGTGCCAGGCATTATGCTAAGCATTTCATCGGCTTTATCCCATTTGATTCTTAATACAACTCCATGAGATAGAAACTATTGTTTTTCCTGTTTTATGGAAAAGATAGAGTTTCAGAGATGTTAATTGACTTATACAAAGTCACACAGGTTATAAAAGACATAAACAGGATTCACTGGTGTGGACCTTGGGAGGGAATTTTTGGAGTGGCCAATAGCATTTGGTTTACATTAATTGTTGTTGTTGTTGTT